TTTGAAGGGGCAGAGGAACTAGAGACCAAATTGCTAACATGTGCTGGATTATGGAGAAGGCCAGAGAGTTCCAGAAAAACATCTATTTCTGCTTCGCTGACTACACAAAAGCATGGCAGAAAGTGAGGAGGACTTAAAGAACCTCTTAATGAGGGTGAAAGACGAGAGTGCCAAAAATGGTCTGAAGCTGAAGATCAAAAAAACTAAGATCATGGCCACTGGTCCCATCACCTCCTGGCAAATAGAAGGGCAAGATATGGAGGCAGTGACAGATTTTACTTTCTTGAGCTCCATGATCACTGCAGAGGGTGACAGCAGCCACAAAATTCAAATATGCCTGCTTCTTGGAAGGAAAGCAATGATAAACCTAGACAGCATCTTAAAAAGCCACCCTTCCCTCCCCGCCTGAATTCAAAGTTCATCCATCCACCCAACCACCCTCCCTCAATTTCCTCCCTCCATTTTGTACATTTAAATAAACTTGATGAAGTCCTCAGTCTCTTGCACCTTTCTTCCCTCCTTCCCTTGTTTGCTCCTTGATCTTTTCCCTGACTCCTGCTTGCTTGCATTCATTTCCGGAGGAAGCAGTCATTCAAAGCCCCAGATTGATTGATTGGGGCTATTCCACAGCTGTAGCAAATTAAGCAGGCTTTCTTGGGCTTCCTGCTGCAACCAGGAAGTAACAGGGAGAGGTGGCTTACAATCTGACGTTTGCCTGCAGAGGGTGGGAGGGACGGGGGGGTAGCACTCTGCTCATTACCCCCAGGATTTTCACTTTTACCCAATTTGGGGTAATTTATTCCTGTTCTCCGACCTATGGTATATAGTAATAATTTGCAATCATTTGGTCCTAGGACATTGCTGGATTGCAGTTCCCAGAATTCCTAGGCATTGGCCATGCTTGTTGGGACATTTGGAAGCTGAAACCAGCAACATCTGAAGACCCATGTTTGAGAACTACCCATTACTTATAAGGCAAACCTTGAGGGAAGAGACAGAATTTGAAACTTTTTTTTCTGTTGTAAGTGTAAGTGAAGCCAAATCATGCCTTTTTTCCTCCATCCTAGACCTACATTGGGAACATCTTGATCTCTGTCAATCCTTTCCAACCTCTCAGTATTTATTCAAGTGATGTGATGATCCAGTATCAGAAAGGGCTGTTCTCCAGAAATGCACCGTATGTTTGTGTGTTTTTTTAATCTTCTCTTATTCTGTTAAACTTATTTATATTTATCAAGCAATATACGTACTGGACTTCCTACAGAATCTTGGGATCATTTCCACTGCTGTGTCTGCTCTTGAAGTTTAGGAAAAAAAGTTTACACAGCTGTGTCAGTAATGAGATATCTTTGGAGGGCAACTTGGCAAGAACACATCCTATGCAGTTCCTTATTCACCTTGGAGAGAATACTGCAATTAAATTCACACACAAACCACAAAATGATAGTGACAGTGTGTCTCTTGTTGTGTGTTTATTGGGTTTTTGTTTATTCTATTTTTTTGTGCTAGATTTTCGTGTTTCTTGGGCTTCACTTAGGACTCACGCTAGAACTCATACAAACAATTGAACCTCTCAAATCAAATGTTGCAATTTATGTTCAGTTCCCAACGGAGGTTGCCAGGGTTGGACATTATTAGCTTGCTCCAATCACCCTGAACTAGAAACCGCTCAGTGGTCTTTGGGTCTTGCGAAGAACATTATTTTCCCTCTGTGCTACTATATGGCATTAAAAGTCTTGGGTTTAGGACTAGTTGCTGTTACTGTACTTGAGTTCATTGTTGTTCTGTGCTTTGTGGGAGGTGGATTAGGTTGTGGGAAAGACTTGTAGCCTGGCGTGTTCCATGATGTTTTAAAACTTTTATGAGCTCAATCAAGTCAAAAACTTCCCCTCTTCTCCAATTTTATACTCCTAACTGACCCTTTCCAAGGTTCAAGTCACCTGCAAAGGAAGTGTCTAAAAAAAAACTAAAGTGGGTTTTTGTTTTTGTTTTCCTGTTTGTTTGCCTGTACTTGTTCAGACACATCTTTGCCGTCACAGAACTGGCATATGCCTTCTCACAGAGCTCGGAGAAAGATCAGTGCATTGTCATCAGGTAAGAGACAAAGACACACTTGCAAGAGAGGCTTGATATTTTCTTCTCTTTCTCCTTGTTGCTTCTTCCTTCCTTACAGACCTAAATAACAAGGATACTGTAATCATAATGGTGTTTTTTGTAAGAGCAACATTATAACAGCAGCAGGGACAACAACAATAGGCAGTTGTATCCAATGATTTGTCCCAACTATCGAAAACCCATTGAGTCAGTGTGAGATATGTAGATTTTGATGCAAGACAAAAAATAAAGAAGAAGAAGAAGAAAAATGTTGTGGTACCTTAAAGACTAACTGCTATATTTTAATGTGAGCTTTCATGAATAAGTCGACTTCCTCAGTGGTTTAGGTATCTGGCTGCAGAGCCAGAGGTTGGGACTTCAGTTCCTCATTGTGCATCCCAAAAGAACCTGCCAGTGTGGCCTTGGGGGCAAGTTGCACAGTCCTGGGGGCACCCACAGAAGAAGGGAAGGGTAAACCACTTCTGAGTATTCTCCACCTGGAGAACTCTGGAAAAGGGTCACCAAAGGTCAGAATTGAACTGAGGCCACATTACTACATTGTTGTATTCATTTAACGGCTCTGCTGCAGTTAGGACTAACAGTGGGATTTAGGCTCCTGCAATTATGGCTACTCTTTGAGCCATTTGTATTATCTGCTACAGGTTAGGCAAAGAGAACCTGTATTTTAATCTCTCATTTTAACTTCTTTTGTTCTTCATACATACCTGCATACAATTTGCTTATGCTGAATAGCTTAATTTTATGCACCTTGGGATAGATGTGGGGCTTTGGAAAATATATTTGGAACCAGGGCTCTGTGAGGTAGGAAACTATGCAGAGGTGGGGGTGGAAACAGACTCCAGCCTAAATCCCATTGTTAATCCCAACTATAATGAACCCATTAAATCAACGGGGTTTGCCCAGTTATTGGTTTAATAAGTCCTATTTATTCAGTGTGTCTTCTCTGGTTGGGACAAGCTGTTGGATTTCAAGTCATAATTGGCTTTCCATGACATTATTTTAAGGAGGAATGAATTGTCCCTAAACCAGGATGTCCTCCAGTGTTATTGCTTTGGAATTATGGACCAGGCTTGTATTGCCTACAATGCCATTGCAGTTCTGAATTTTTGTTTTTAATTTGTTTTCTTTATGAGAAGAAATAAAGAACGTTCTGGATATGATTAGAGTTATTCCCTTAGTACCACTCAGATTTCTCTTGAATTACCAAAACATGTATTTGAGGATCACTTAGAGATTGCCCCAGAAGTGTGTGAAATTGTGTTTTTTTTGGTGGAGTTAATACACTTTGTTGTACTTCAAGGTGGTAAAAAAGGAACTAACAGCATCCCTGTGCTTAGTAACTTAATTGGGACTCCTGAACTAGACAGAACTTACTTCTGGATAAAAATGTATAGTATTGAACAGTTTGAAGATATACAAAGAGTTGAAATAGCTTTGTAATGTGTTGAAGCTCTGAGTGTAATAATGATGAGTGGTGTATTTGTAAGACTAATTACTTTGAATCATAATAATAGTATGTGTTGTTACAGATGAGTTTATGTACTTCTTGGCTGATTCAGACATTTACTGGAAGTGTGAGTGGGGGGGTGCATTTATGAAATATCTACTGGGTAGTGAGATTTTGTTGGCAGTATTATTTTTGATAAAAGTCAATAAAAGGGGTGGGTGGAGGAGGAAAGAATTAGCAGCTGTACTGTATTAATACTGTGGTGCTAATTGTACTGGTGGAGGATGTGATCTAGCCATCTAAATAACAGTGCCAGTTATCCAGTCATCTTTTCCTTTTTAATGTATTGTAATGCAGTGGACACAGTGGTTCAGGGAAGACAGAAGCTGCCAAAGCTATTATCCTGTACTTGTCCAGGCTATACCAAAGGCAAGAAGGTCCTGGGAAAAAACAAGTATGTTTTGGATTGTTCTCATTAGGTTTTTGTGCAGACGCAATCTGGTCACTGCCAGAAGTAGCTTTGACCCCCAATACGAAACACATGATCTGAAGTTGAATCCTGGGGAAAGCAGTGGAACTTGCTTCATCTAAAAAAGGCACACACCCTATAGAGCTGAGGTGGGCTACTTAGGGGCCTGTGGAGTGCTCCAGCTTGTCCCTCTTTGTACACAGAGAGTGAGATACATGGCACAGGCAGGGTGGAGGCCTTTGCAAGGCAGCCGTGGAAGCAAACTCTGCTGTCATGGCTGGTTTGCCCACGGTATCTGTAGGGAATGGGGCAATATATGGGAACCCCCTACACGCACCCCAGTTCTCCTGCCCTGTCCCTTCCCTAACCTCTAGGAGGTGTTTTTTTTTTATTTATTTTTTGGCTTTCCCTCTCCCACCTTCTTGCCTTAGGGGCTGTAAAAGTTGGCAGGACTTTGAATGTAGTGGGACACCTGACTGCAAATTCTCCCAATCACAACCTAAGTAAATAAAGTTGCTCTGTTAAGTGATTAACAGTCACAGAATTTCTTTGACTTGGAAGGAGGCGTAATCAGCAATACCAACAGCAACTTTCCCCTTTCCCATCTAGCCCTATGATGTGCTACCCATCCTAGAAAGTTTTGGAAATGCCAAGACTATCCTAAATGACAATTCCAGCCGCTTTGGGAAATTCTTGCATGTCCACCTGAGACAGTGAGTAAATAAAGAAACTTGAGCAAATATGACAGCTTTAAACAAAAAATAATTAAATAGTTACGGAAATTTAGGGCCCAGATGGGTTGGCTCAATAGGAGAAGAAAATGCTGAACTCCAACAAAATGCTGTGAAAGTCTAAATTTGAATTCTGCTGCTAGCAGTCTTCAAAAGGTCAAAGCTGGAAAATTAAGAGTCACAGTCATCCTATCATTTGATAGGATTTCATTATTCCATTAACTGCTACAGGTCTGAGGAGCAGCAGCCTTCAGATGTTTCTAAACCCCTAAGATTAAAGTCCTTCATTTGTTGATGGTGGGATCATCTAATGAGTTTCAGAATATTGCTTTGTGTTGCTTGTTGGTTGATCATATCTGCAGTGAAAGTGTGAAATAAAATGTCTCCTCTTACTGTGGTTTCTCTCTAATAGTGGACTCATGGTGGGCACCTCTATCTCACACTATCTTTTGGAAGAGTGTAGAGTTGTTTTTCAGGTAAGAGCACATCATCCATACATAGCAGGTGGTTGATGATTGCCTATGTGTGTGGTGCAAAAACTTCTGGCAGGAAGTCCTGCTCCTCTAGCCTGGAAACCCATATTGCCAAAAATTTGTTAAAGAAACAGGAATGGGCTGCAGGGCAAATCAGTGAATATTGTAGACAGATGAGTTTGTGTTAGACCCAGGTAGGTCACAGCAGCGGCCGCTCACATGGGCAGTGGTCAGAGGGTTGGGAGTTTTAGTCTAAAACATCTGGAGGGGATGAGGTTGAGGAAGATTGGGCAATGGGTTTCACTTCCCCTCCGGGCAGATTATGCAGAGCTGGCTTATTTTGAGCAAAAGCTCTACCTTCAAATAGGAGAGCATCCTATCTACAAACTCTGAGGTCACTTGACGAAGGGCAGACATGATTATAGGTCCGTAAGCATGGTTTGTTATTTTTGTTTCAATCAGTGGAGTTCAGGATCCTTCAGTGCTCTACCATTACTACTTCCATCATTCCTGGAATTCATTTAAAATAACAGAACACGAATAACGACGTTTAGCAAGATACTTATTTGCTTGCTTGCTTGTTCCCATTATAAGCAATATCACATTATGACTTAACTGCAAGAATTGCCTCCTTTTTTCTCTCTTTCTAGAGTCCTGGTGAAAGGAGCTTCCATGTATTTTATGAGTTTCTGGCTGGGCTGCCCACAGAGCAGAAAGAAAAACTTTATCTGCAGGAGTCAGAAACGTACTTTTATCTCAATCAGGCAAGTAAATGGATGACGTCAGAGATGTAGTTCAACCCGAAGGAGCCATTCTGGGTGTTGAAACATAAAAAAATGGGCAGTTCCAAGCTCTGATTCAATCACAGCAGTACTTATGGCATGTTGGAGATTATATAATGGGATAGATAAGAGTCATGGTGACATTCTGGTTAGGTTAATCTGTGATTAGCAAATATCTCAGAGCCACTAATTTGTTGCTCAGTGCCATCAAGTCCCCTTCTTACTTATGGTCCTTAACTTATGAATGAATGAATGAATGTCCTCCAAAAGGTGCTGTTAGATCTTGCAAGAAAGGTCATGAGTTCTTTTATTATTGAGTCGGTTCACCTCACTAAGATATTTATGTCTTCCTCATTTTCTGATGCCTTCTACTTTTCTAGCATTATTGTCTCTCCCAGTGAGACTTCTCATAGTATGGCCATTATACTCATGTTATGATGGCAATTTTAATTGTATTTTAATTGAATTTTAATTGTTGTAAGCCGCCCAGAGACCTATGGTGGATTGCCCAGCTGCGACCATATCTTGATCGGGGGGCCCTCACCACTCTAGTCCATGTGCTCGTAATCTCGAGATTAGACCATTGTAATGCACTCTACGTGGGGCTGCCTTTGAGGCTGACGCGGAAACTTCAGATGGCCAGAATGCAGCAGCTAGGCTCCTTAGTGGGGTGAGAAAACACCAGCATATCTCCCCCACCCTGGCTGCTTTGCACTGGTTGCCCATCTGTTTCCGCGTTGACTTCAAAGTGCTAATGATCACGTATAAAGCCCTAAATGGTTTGGGACCTCAATATTTGGCAGATCGTCTTCTCCCACCCAGATCTACCCGGATCACCCGATATAGCCAGCAGGGGCGGCTGAGGGGTCTGACGCCGAGAGAGGCCCGGAAGGAAAAAACAAGAAACCGGGCCTTCTCGGTGGTGGCCCCTCAGCTGTGGAATGCCCTCCCAACAGAAATTCGGCTGGCACCCTCGCTGGGTGTTTTTAAAAGCCAGTTAAAAACTTGGTTATTCAAGAAGGCCTTCCCTCCAGTCAATGAAGTCTCTCTCTCTCTCTCTCTGTCTCTCTCTCTTTTTTTTTTTTTGCTATTCCACCTTGGTAATCCTCTCTTTAAATTAATTGTTTTAAATTGAAATTTGTAATAAATAAATAAATAAATGAATGAATGAATGAATAAATAAATAAATAAATAAATAAATAAATAAATAAATAAATAAATAAATAAATAAATAAATAAATAAATAAAATGAGTTAAATAAATAAGTTAAATAAATTAGACCTTCTAATTTTTACTGAGAAATCAGCCTGATTTATTCTACAACCTACTTATTTGTCTTTCTGGCAGTTCATGATTTCTGTACTCTTCTAGTACCACATGTTGAATAAATTGATTTTTCCCCCTGTCAGCTTTCTTAATTTTCTAGCTTTCACCCCCCATACACAGTAATTGGCAATACCATAATATCACGTGATCCCCAGCAACACACGTTTACACTTGAGTTTCATGGCTGCCCTCCGAAGTCTCAGTCTTCTTCAGGTTTCTTGTCTACAGTCTCCTTTCGGACTGATGGTTGAACAAAGGTATACAAAGCCTTTAACAATTCCAGCATCTTCATTGTCCACATTAAAGTTCTGTAGTTCTTCTTTAGTCAGGATTTTTCTCTTCTTAATGCTCAACTGCGGTCTTGCCTTTGTACTTCCTTCTTTAATTTCATCAGGAGGTTTTTCAACTCACTGCTCCTTTCTGCCAATAATGTTGTGCCATCTGCGCATCTGACATAATTGACATTTCTTCCACAAATTTCATCTGAACCTAATTCAGATTCCACAAATTAGAGGTGGTAAAAGTATATTGCAGATGCATTCTTCACAGCTGGAGATAAAAAAATAGTTTACCTAGTCAGCATGCAAATGAATCCTCCTGATGAATGATCACCAAACAAAAGCAAACTCACTTGCAACTTCATTCCTCTTGATGTACTCTTAAGTATCATGGTGAATTGGGTAAGTCCCATGAAAAGCTGGTACAGATTCTTATTGAGAACATACCACTTATTTGTAGCTCCCATCACTTACGGGCTAGGCTGCATGGACTATTGGGAGCTAAACACCAAAAAGCATTTGAAGGGCTGCAGCTGCCAACCTCTACTGTGGAATCTTGCTGAATTTCAAAGCAAGAAAAGGAGCTAATTAGAAAAATCCCAGGATAATCCCAGTTTTCCTCTTTGCACTGCAGAATATGTTGGTTACTCCAACTCAGACTTTCCATGTACTAGGCTCTAGAATGGTGATTCCCAGCCTTGAGTAATCTAGGTGTTCTTGGACTGCAATTCCCAGAAGCCTTCATCACTAGTTGTGCTGATTGGGATTTCTGGGAGTTGCAGTCCAAGAACACCTGGATTACCCAAGGTTGGTAACTACTGTTTTAGATCAAAGGTACACAGCTTGTGACCCTCCAAATGTTTTATTTATTTATTTATTTATTTATTTATTTATTTATTTATT